GGATTTGGCAATACTGCACGGGCAAAAATGCCAGACAGCAAAAGCTCACAGTGAGTGCCTCTAACTGTCAATAAAATGATGCTGTTTCAATCAGAGAAATTTTTCCTGTTGATTCATTTCATAATGAAAAGGAGATGAGCTAGCTAGTATGACAAACAAAAACAAAAGGTCAGGCGCTAGGTATGCTAAGTGCAAATTATTTGACTTTGTGCAAGGTACTTAAATTCCTTGGGACCCAGTTTCTTCATTTGTTAAAAAAAAAAAGTTGGACCTAGACTAATGAAAATCCCCAAGGGTGACTTAGCAGACTTAGTTCTCCTATAATCTTTAATAGGAACATCTAAGACATTCCCAGTAACCCTAGAATATTCATTAAAAAGATGTACTTGTTAGGAAAAATACAACTTCCAGGCACGTCTCCTATCCATATCTAACTTCCTCCCCAATCAGGAGGACTTAGATAAAAGTTCTGGTGCTGCCATCAGTCCAGCCTAGAAAGAATCTGAAGATTCTTTCAAGCTTTGAGTTCTCTCTGAATGCAGTATCTCTGCATGGGTAGGTCACACAGTTAGATGCATTAACTCCTAGAAACTATAATTGAAGCAGATCACCATAATGTTAAATATTGATTACATCCACACTGTTATATTTGCCTACTTGGAAATCACTGACAAAACCCAATGCATGAACAGAGAAAAGTAATGAGGAGGAAACTAAAGATGTTGATTAGGTAGTGGAGAAGAGCAGGATAATGAATTATAAAGTAGCAAGAAGTGGCCAATACCTATATAGATACTACTCTAAGGAATCTAAAGTTAACTGCATCTGCCTCTTGTTCTCTAACACTTTAACAGATTTTCAGAAACAACTAAGAAGATAATTTAAAAGTACTATTGATCCAAATTTTCTTTTCCACAGAGCCTGCTTCCTAATACAGGTTTGCGTGTGTGACATTGCATATACCTTTTAACTCAGCAAAGTCTGCAAAGTCAGCATGACAACCATTTTCTTAAAAACATGTCTTTTGAAGCCCATTAAGTATCTGACTGAAAATATATCATAAAGTTCTTTAACTGTCTTGTATTTCATAAAGGGCTTGTGTGTATGTAAAAGTGAAAGTTTCTAAGCTATATCTTTCTGGATTATGTTTGTGTCCATCTCCTTACCCCCAAATTCATGTCAAAACCTTACCCTCCCAATGTGATGGTATTACGAGGTAGGGTCTTTAGGACGTAATTAGGATTAGATGAAGTCGTGAGAGTGAAGCCCTTATGAATGGGATTAGTGCTCTTGTAAGAGTTACAAAGAGCTTGCTTCCCCTCTCTGCTGTCTGTCTTGTGAGGATGTAACGAGGAGGCCATCTGCAACCCAGAAGATGGGCCTCACCAGAAACTGACCCTGTTAGCACCCTAATTTCAGACTTCCAGTCTCCAGAACTGTGAGAAATAAATTTGTTGTTTATAAGCCACCTAGTTTATGGTAATTTGTTACAGCAGCCTGAACTAAGGTAATATCTAACAAACATGGAAGAGTAATTCTGAAAAAAATTTTAATGAATATAAGGGTTTTATTTCTTAACTCCTCTCATGAATTCTTGATCCAAATTGCTAATTTCATTAAATGTCTCATCTAGTATTTACTACATATCAATAAGGATTATTATTTTCTTCCCTTGAGGAGTTCATGTTTCTAGGGGAGTACAACTAATTTACAGCTGTAGTAAACACAGTCATCTCAATTTTTTTCCACTTCTACTAGTTTAAAAACAAAAAGCCTGTATGTTTAAAATCTGCAAAGGAGAGCAAAAGACTGCTTTTTAACAAACCAATTAGACTTGATTACTTTCTTCACACGTGATATTCATGGAGTTAGAGAGTATTTTTAGTAATAATCTTAATCTTAGAAAATATAAAGAGAAAAGTCTCTTCATTTTATGATGTCTTAATTAGCTTACCTTTCTTTAGTTTCTAATTAGTTAAGGAGATCTGTTTAATAAATTATCTTAGACCCTAGCTATTATTTATATTAGACTTCCTTTAAAAACTAAATTGACATATATCATGACTACTCTTTACAGTGTACTTAAAACATTGAAAATTTCAAAGAAATACTAAATAGAAAATGTTCCAATAAAAATGTTAAATAAAGTATATTGCGACAAAAATTTTCATTTTTTAAAAATATGCAAAGAATGGGAAGACATACATCAAAATGTTGGCAGTCACCTTCTCTAATCATGAGTTTTTTCCATTATTTTCTTTTTGCTTTTTAAATTTTCAGCAAAGAACCTGTATCATTTTTATATAGTCAGAGAAAATATTTATATTAACATCACTATTTTAGGTAATAAAAGAACACGTTAGTTACAAAGATACTTTTATAAAAGTATGATGCTGAAAAATAATAAAATATATCAATCTGATTTCTAAGAAGATAACGTCTGAAAATTTCAACTTTCTCAAAAGGTAGCGAAGTTGTTTCCCTGTACAAGCACTCACTCTACTGGTGATACAGAGAATCACTTATTCTGCCATTTCTGATGTAACTGCATTATTTTCTACAAGCACTAGAGGTCAGGGTTCTCAACATAAAACAATTCCACAATTATCATTACATTCTATGTTTTTTGGGGGGTCTGTTCATAATATGATCAAATATCACTATATTTATTACATGTCTTTTTTGGACTGTGCTTCTGTTAAACATATGATAATTTTTAGTAACAGTCTGACTCCCATGAGATATTTAATAGCTGATTTATCATACATAAAATTAATTTATCCCTACTTACATACTGAAAGGAATTCAAACACATATTCACATACAATATACATATTTCAAAACTTATTTTTAGGGCTGTATTAACAAATATGCAATCGAAGTCTCTGATATGACACCAACTCATATTAAAATTGACTAATAAAGATATTGAAAACTAAGGTCCATCACTGCTCGTTCTAGTTTAATAAAAAAATGCAATGATATTTTTTAAGAAATTAGCTAAATGCCCTCAGAATTCCAGATCTTTAAGTAAACAAAGAAATGCTTCTCTCTAACTCCAAAAGCTTCTAATGTATGAGGTTTATGAATTCTGGTGGAAGAGAAGCTAAGAGGGAAAATGACATTCCAGGAAGAGAAAACACCAAGAGTAAAGTCATGGCATCTCAAAAGTACAGTTTATTTGGGGGATGTCAGGGTAATTTGCTACATAGCTACCGGAGAGGGTGCACTGGAGAAATAAGCTGAATATAAAGTTGGAAAAGTAAAGTACAGTCCCTTGGGGAAGAACTATTATGCTGTATTTGGAAGTCAGACTTTATTTTGAAGGCAATGGGAAATCCACTGAAGACTTTTAAACAAGGGAGAGGTGTGACTAACATCTGCTTTTAGAAAGGTAATAATATACAGGATGAATTAGAAGAGCGAGAGCTTGGAGTAGAGACTAATGAGTCAAGTACACTGACTTAAATAGGGCAAAAACACTGTGGGTGCTAAGACTAAGTATTCCAATAATGTTTCAAAAGGCAAGAATGACTGGACTTGGTGAAAGGCTGAACTATACAGTGAAAAGGGGTTTCAAGTCTTGATAAGTGGGTAGATACTTATGTCTTTAAGAAAGACTGGAGTTTTAATAATTTTAAGTGCCAGGTACTCTCTGAAATCCAGGTTGCAAGATCTACTGAATACCTGTAAATGCAGGACTAGAATTTGAGGAAAAGAGGGACATAAATAAGAAAAAAAGTAAAGTTTGTGACTTACAAAAGGAGTCTCTCTCATTGAATCATCTATATTAGACTCACACGCCTTGTTAAAGTAACGATGTCAATGAGCAACAATAAAATATGTATCTGAACACTTAGCAAAATTAACTTTCCAACTGAACGGTACCCATGTAAACTATGGGATGGTACAGCACTATTAGGTATAACTTAGTCAATTTAGATTATTAATTAATCATTATCTACTCAAATACATACACAAAACATTTATTGGCAAGTACATGATTTACACTACATATACAGATAGGGATTAAGACATTTAAAATACATATACACATTTCGTCTGAAGTCAAGCCAAAATTTTTAAAGATATCTTTATAAGACAGAAAAATCAGTTTACTAATGACGAAGGCCAAGAGTAACAATGATTATTAGTAACTATCATCAGTATTAAACTTATTTACAGAGTCCCTCAAATGGATTTTCTTACTTGATACCTACAAGTTGTCCGTGGGGAGGGCTGGAGCTGGCAGTAGTAACAACAGTAACAATTATAATACTCTGATAACACACACATCATTAACAGAATTTATTTTCTACTCTTCATCTTTTCCCCCCTCCCTCCACCCTCAGACTGTAGAATACACTAGAGGTCTTAGATGCTGTTATTCGGAAATTTATATTTAAAACCGGAGCCTTCCCAACATAAATAGACTAGATTAGAATAAGGACTACTGAATTTTCTAGAATTCTATGAAACAGAAAATACAGACCAAAAGAATTTAATACTGTTCCACTATGAAATGTATGTAATCTGGTCTAGACATATAAATTGGATGCCATACATCGTTGCTAATTATTACACAAAGTTTAAATCTGAGGAAAAGTTTAATCCAATTATTAGGTTATTATAAATCTGACTACTTATGCATGAATCTTGTAAAACTTTCACATTACTAGTATTAAATGAGCCTTCATAAACTATTTTAAATAAAATCCCATCCCAAAAGGACGAACAGCCATTAAAATTTCTTTTTAGATCATTTCTGGAATTTAATTTTTTAAAAACCCACTCCATTATCTATGTATGGGAGATTAAAATACTCTTCTCTACTTACCTAAAGGCTTAGACAAGCTGAAAACCTTGAGTCATCTGTATTGTATAGATTAAAGACTGGGGACTCAACATATTATCCTACAAATAAGCAGCCTCTTGTTTCTATTTTAGTATTTTCAACAGTTGGAATGGGTTGAAAAAGAAACAAGAACAGGAATACTTACTTGAACCTAGCAGGTGAAAGAGGAGTAGGAGGAAACATTCCTGGTTCAAAAGAATCAAAATAAGTCACTGTCCAAGAAAAGCTGCAGCAGGAGAATCCGGCAGTTAAGGATATTATGAGTAGAGTCCAGAATCCTTAATGGGAAAAGAGAGGGGAAAATCTGAATTATTAACTCTAAAGCAATTTAAATTAAACCAGGAGATCATGTTGAGAAGATCGTATGTATTTCTGATAATCTAAATTATACGTAACTGATATAAGGTATGTGAGTTTAGTAGAAGTGAACCCATGTGAAGTGTAAAATACTAAGAACTAGAAGTCATATCAAATATTTTAATTCAGTTTTAATTTCCTATGTGAAAAAAAGAGTACAAATTCAACTTAAGGATGTAACTTTGATTCACAAAATTCAACTATAGGAAAAAATGGTTCAAACTCTTCACGGGTAAATGTCCTGATGTTTTTCATTTAACTTTGTGAATCACAACTTGCTGCCTCCTATTACTTAGTACAAAGTGATTCCTTTCTTTCCACACCCCTATTAGTACAAAGTGATTCCTTTCTTTCCACACCATGCATTTTTGACATATGAATCAACTTTAGAGTGTTTACTCTTTACAGCTTTCTTATTAACATTATAAACTTAATTTGATTCTTTAACCTTGCTCAGTATATAAACAACAATTTCCAAGTTCTAAATGGGTTGGGAACTTAGATTTTATTTTCAGTCAGACTGAAGCTTTATTTTGAAAAATAAGTCAAAAGCACAATACTATATGGGCTGCAAGGAAAGAGAAAAGAGTTGAGAAATGGAAGAATGTGGGGAATAAACAAGGTTAAAATAGAGGGAATAAATTAAAGGATTTCAGACAGTTTACTAAGCCACCACTACTGATAAGTGTGTGTTATCTCTGGCCTCAGCAGCACAGAGAGGAAGGAAAGGTTGAGAAGACTACAGAAGACTGACTTATGAATTACAAAATTTCCTAGCTGCAAAGGTGTATTTTAGCAAGAAGCAGGAAAGAAATGTGTGCAATGAATTGGTTGTAAGCCATGTGAAACCCAGTAACAGACTGATCAAACTGGTAAGTTAAACTCAGAGAAATGAAGTATTAGAAAAACAAAAAAACTGTGGCAAAGTATTTTTAAAGATAAACTATTTTTTTCTCTTGATAGTCCCCTTTCCTTTACCTTCTTTTAAAAAGATAATGGACTTTGCGTTCACTGCCCCAGAAGGATGTGGCAAAGAAAAGACAAACAGCCCCAGTGTCTGATTTTTATGTTGCAAAATAATAAAGGGAACGATGATAGATATAAGCAGGAGGAGGGTAGGTAAAGACAGAATGTCTTAGACAGCAAAGATAATGACTGGGGTATAGAACAAAATGTTTGTGTAGAACAGAGAGAATAGAGTGAAGGTTTTATCTATGGGTGAGAAAAATTCCCATTTTGAAGAAGTGTGTTGTGTGTGTATGTGGGGAGGGAGTAGTGCTGCTGGGGCTTCCTGGTGGAGCCACACAATACCAGATTGGAGCTGTGTACAGTATCTTGGCAGGTGGGCCAGAGCCAAGCTTGCAGGTGCTTCTACCCTAAATGGGGCATAAAAATAGCAGGCGGTCACATGGCTGGAAGGTGAAACCTCTGAAAGGGCATCCTGATGAGAATGCAAAATGATTCAGCAGTAACTCATTTGAGCAAATGTCTTGAGCACCAGATTGCACTCCCATTCCAATATCCTTGCACAATCAGCCTCTAGAATCTCAACCAAACCTGGGGCTGAGTGAACAAAACCTTAGTAAAGACTGAGGCACAAACTTCCTGTCAACCTAGAGACTTGGGACTACTGTGGAATGATGGAAATTCGTAAATATTTTAAAAAGTGAGAAAGACACAAAATAACAAAATGTGAGGCTCTCTGAAGCCCATCAAGCTTTTTTACTCTTTAACAGAATGCCCATCAAATTTAATACTACAATATCCTTGAGTTTTCAGAAATGACTACTAATCCATGATCTAAGTGCTTACCTCACCTTGGGCATTTTAATTATTTTATATTCATTCTGAAGTAATCAACAGTTACATCCCTGACAAAAGTCAGGTCACAATGATAGTATGTTGCAACACTGTGGTCTAGAAGTGCTCGTGCTTCTGAAATTACTCAATTCATGTATGAACAAGCAGAAAAGCCACATAAATCAGCAACTTCCAACTCAACTTTTAACAAGTTCCTACCTCCAGAATCCTGAAGGAAAAATTTGATAACTAATATTTTGTAAACCCATTTTACCAAGAGTTAAAAAATAAATTTCGTTTAAGAATTAAAATAATTTTTAAAAGGCACAAAGGCATATAAAAATGAAGTTAAAGTCTTCCCTCCCTAATTTACCAATTCTACTTCTAGAAGCAATCAGCTGAGAGTACTTTACATCTTCTATAAAAGTTTAGGTATCTAGGAGCTAGTTATAAACACGAAATGTATAATATGTATATATTATCTTCCAAAAGTGGGATTCTCACCAGAAAAACTGTCCTGCACTTTTTTCCCCACACATTGTTGGGAGACCTTTCATATCAGTACATGTAGGTACAATTCCATTGTATATTTTTATTATTCCAGTTTTTCACTATTAAAAACAATGCTGTGAGTAATATTCTCGTACTAAACAATACAGTTATAGAAAGATATCTGTTACTGCTGTATCAAAGTACAGAGACCTTTAAATAAATACATACACCCTTCTTTCTTCTCTATAGTTCAATTTTCATCAGTTGATGAAATGACGCAATTTCATTTCTTGTGTCAAATGTAAACTCTTGGACTCAACGTTTTCACCTAAAGCAAAGCAAAGCGTGTATGGAAAATCCCTATTCTAATCCCTTGGCTGGAGTTTTATATTCACTTATCTAACAGCATATTTTGGGGGGAGATGATTTATCAAAATACATGATTTCAGTTTCAAAGTATAGTTACTTTTCTAAAATCATGCTGGCAGCTTTATGTATTTCTATAAAAGCTTCCAGCAAAGAAAAATTGTACGTTCTAAATATTTTAATTATATTTAGCATTTCAGGTTCACAGGGATGAGATGACTTCTGTAAGTTTTATGAACTCAGAGATTTGGAGTTATCTGCACATATTATGTCAGCAGAAAAAGCCAGAAAAACAAAACAAAAACCTCCCCTGTTCCCACTGTGAAAAAAGTTTCTTATTAAAACAATGTTAAGAAATCAATTACACATTCTTCATATGTATTCTTGCCATAAGTAATAATAGGACTAAATGTGACAGCTCACTGATAATTTCTGAGTCCCATTTTAGAGCTTCTGATACTTGAAATGTGTAAATAAACTGTTACAGTATGAAATACAATGCAATAATAGAAAAGAATGTAGTAGATGTACATATACTGATACAGAATGAACTCCAAGATATTTTAATAAAGCTGCAGCCCATGCATGGTTCCAGTTATGTTTTCTTCAACAACAGTGACAAAACCATGTTTTAAATCATCATATATATGATACATTAAATATATATAAATGAATAGAAAAAGATCTGAAAATATACACAAGCAGATTAGTGGTTACCTTTACTTTAATTGTTAGAATTCTTTTCCCAGTAAGACTGTATTACTTATACAATTAACTTATGAAATTAAAAATGAAAATTAACATTTAGGTAACTTTAAAAGTGTAAAAAACTGGCTACTAATAAAAGCCCAGATGTACTCATGCATTAAAATTAATAATTTTTAAATGCTTATATAAGCAAATGTTTGCAACTTCAACAGATTTCAGTTTTCTAACTTAGGAGGATGACAGGTATTTTAAATGATGTAGTATTCTCTCTAAAGTAAACCACATTCTTATGATAGCTCAAGTTTTTAAATCCCTTGAGCAATGTCAAAGCAGAATGCCAGACAGCCCAGGGATCTTCAAACTTAATTATTTCCAAGTGCGGAGCAGAGGAATGGGGTCTTTCTTCCCATGTGTCAGTGCCACCTGAACACAGTTGGGTCTCCACCCAACTGCCTATCCACCTGCAACTCAGTCTGCAGCAATTTCACTCGTCTTCCTTCTGAAAAGGGCAAGGAATGGAAGGGAACATTCTGACAGATGAGTGCCTAAACTTGAAAAATTAGGAACATCTCTAGTTTCTAACCATGTTAAATCACCATATTCACATGGGAAACTTGGAAAAAAAAACTTTTTTATTATGGACAGTTTCAAACACACACAGAAGTAGAAGGAATACAGTGAAACCCCATTTAATCATCACTCATCTTTCAAAAATTAATTCATGGCAAATGTTGTTATAGCTATAGTCTCCCCTGAAGCTTATAACCTTCAGTATACTAATGAAAATAGTTATCACTATCATCTGGTTCCAAAGTGCCCTTATTTTTAATCATCTGATGAACAATTTATGAAAGAATAAATAACCAATGAAAATAACTGTTAGAAATTTTAATAAGATATAAATATAGCAAACCCAAATTTTCATTCTCAATTTCCCTGTTTAAAAAAATACTAGAAATGAGCATGTCCTCTAAGTGCAAATAACTACTTACCAGCTTTATGCATGAATCTGGAACATAACCATCTTGTAAATACTGATTCCAGGCTTCAGATACATCTCTAATTGATTTTAGCTTATCATTAGTTTTGCTTTTTCTTTTGCATTTGCATCAACAAAACACAATGCTTGAAGCAATTTTAAAAATCTTTCACAGTTAAGAAGACATGGTAGACAACTATCTTTGCTCCATAATTTGCAAAATATTTTCATTTTTATATTTATAAACACAATTTGATCAATCCAATGACTCTTGTTTCATTCCTTTCCAATCACCAGCATTTGTCCACTTACAGTGTCAAACATATTAAAGTGAGCAGATTTATAAAAGATGAAAAAGACTGTCATATACTCTTTCAGCAAAAGGGAATGGTTCGTGTTTTTGCCTGAAGTCTTTCTGTTGAATGACTGGATGAAAATACTACAGTTTTCCAAAAAAAGAGCTAAATATTAAGTATCTACAGCTGTGTTTGCCATCAGGTCTCTTTCACAACTACACGACTCTGCTGTTGTGGCATGAAAGTAGCCATCCATAGACCAAGAGAGAGAACATACTTT